TGCAACAGAATACAATAGTAGAATTGACTTTGTAGGATATTAATATTGGCATCGATTATATATATTTGTTGTTCAAGAAGGTGAATTTCTCTAGAATTTAGGACCAACAGTATTAGGTGTGTACTAAGTGTATTTATTAAACAACTGATTTAAATTCATAATACCTCATTTGTGTTTGAGTTTCTTCAAAAATTCTGAGAGACAGACCAATGTCAGGCATTATATAGAAGTTGATTTGGCACAATAATTTTTAATATATAAGCAGCTCTTAAAAGAATTTTAAAGCTTCTTTTATACTATTTTTTCACTAATAAGCAATTTTTTTGCATTAGCATAGCCTTTTTTATTACAAGTTGATTTGTTTTTAATAAATATGAATTTTTTAAACTATATTCTTCAAACTTGTTTCTTTGTCTATTTTAATAATTCAGGTTTCAAAGGCTTTTAATGTGTATGAATTACTAGAGTTTCTTATATTTACTGATATTATTTGAAATCAATTCTTAATAGAAAAATATCACATAACATTAAGATACAGAGCATTATATAAAACTAGTAATGCATTCAAAAAGTCATTAATTCAATTAGTGCATGCAATTGGTCTATTTATAAAATATAAATGAAACAATCGTAATTAGAGCAAAGAAAAGATTAAAATAGAATAATCTTTAACAATAATGAAATATCTAAACTATAAATTATATTTATATAATATATTATATGTAATATTTGAGTAGTATTATCTAGTACAATACTCTAATTATTATATATAATAACTAAACAAGTAAAAACTATTAGTAAAGTTTAAAAAGTGCATAATAGTTAGATAAATTTCATAATATAAAAAATCTAGAAAGACAAAAATTCTATTTGCAGAAACTTGTTAAAGTTTATTATACTTACTAAATGCAAATCCAAGAAGGTTGCACTTTTATAATTAATAAATTCAAGTTTTGGTGATAAGTTGAAATTGTTTAATAAAATTAAATTTGAAAATAGAAGATATGAATTACCTGTAAATGTTGGTAAAGAATATTGAAAAAATAGTAGTTTAAAAGTAATAAAAAGCTTAAAGACTATTTAAGTAAAACAGAAAAAGTATATATAAATGATGTGAACAATTTGAATAATAAGTAAAATGATATGGATGAAGAAATTACTAATTGTAACTCTGGGCTGGTATCTGATACAAATTTTGAATCTAATCCGATCACTAGTTCTCAATCTTTGCCAATTACTAAGAACTATGATCCTTTGATGAAAGATTTTATTTCTAAGCATAATAAATGGTCTCCGTATCCGTATATCATTGTATATCATTTATGGAAAAGCTTTTGTCAAACCTGAGAAAAACAATGACTACAATTTGAAAACGACGAATAAAGTTGCAGCTGTATATGCAAAACCCTAAATTCACCTAGATATCATAGTGGTGTAAATTTATCTCATAATGAAATTACATTTAAATCTCTTATTAAAGAAATGCGATGAAGATAAACGTACTATATTTAACGACAAGATAGAAATGTTATTGAAAGAATATGAAACAAGGAGTTTAAAGATTTGCAAACTGGCAATCGTCAACTCATTGATTAAGGTGGGTAATTCTGATTAGTCATAGCTCCGCAACAAAATTGTCCCGACAGTCCTCAATTTTGATTGGCTAACGGCCATAGATATGCAAAATTCTGGCGGAATTAACTTTTTAACTTTTTTATTCCAAAAATAGAAATTTTCAAATAAATAAGCCCACACAAGGGTAAAATTAGCCCAGGAACAATTTTCACTTAATGGACGGCTGTGATTTCATTGGTAAAATTTTGAGTAATTCCGACCAAAGTTTTTGAGCGTCGCCCTTGACCAATCAAAATCGAGAATCTGCTGGAACAATTTTGTTGCGGCAGCTAGGGTTAATGTAATACTGCTAGGTTCAATGTAACATTGCTGATTTACAAGGTCAAAAATGAGCATTTAAAAGTCTCGATGTTAATATCAAAATAGAATGGGATAAAAAAAAGTTCAAAAAATTTCTTAAAGAGGTAATGTTTTATTCATGTTTTTCTTCATTATAATATAATCAAAATTAATAAATTTTATATTTCCAGCTAAGATTTCTTCACGATATTCCAATATTATTAAATTCTATAATATTCAAAATGGACATATATTTAGTTTGCAAATGACGGAAATTTACGGGATTATCGGTTTTGCATACCAATTTCGAGCATCTGACCAATCAAATTCGGACATCTGACCAATCAAATTCAGACATAGTAGCAATCAAATTTAGACATAGTTGCAATCAAATTCGGACATAGTTGCAATCAAATTTAAACATAGTTGCAATCAAATTCGGACATAGTTGCAATCAAATTTAAACATAGTTGCAATCAAATTCGTACATCTTAGCAATCAAAATTAAGCAGCAATATCTCATGATCTAGTGATCAGAATGGCATGATTTTGGTACCATCCGCCTCGTCTGGTCCTGACGAGTTGAATGGTGCCAAAATCATATCATTTTGATCACTAGATCACGAAATATTGCTGCCTGAATTTGATTGCTAAGATGTACGAATTTGACTGCTAGAATGTACAAATTTGATTACTACTATGTCCGAATTTGATTGTTACTATGTCCGAACTTGATTGATCAGATGTGCGAATTTGATTGGTCAAATGTTCAAATTTGATTGGTCAGATGTTCGAAATTGGTATGCAAAACCGATATTTGCAAAGTAAACGGTCTGAAGGCGGATTTAGTAACCACGTTAGTGAAATGCAAAAAAGGTCACTTCTACTACTACCAAATGTAATAAGACTTATTGCTGTTAAGTTAATTACTAAGACATGGGTTCATGCCATTTTAAAACAAATAGAGACTAAAATTACAGAGTTATTTATAGGATTTTTAATAATATTATATGAATTTTATTATGAAACTTTGGAGTCAACTGATTGAACTTTACTATAAATATATCTTGATTTGAGGATTTTTTGTTAGATAAAGTTGAATATAGGCAACACAATTAATTTGGTTAGCCTTAAAATAATTCTGGCCCATGACCAACATAATTCTGCCCAGAACTATAGAGTAATTTTTAAATGGTTAAACAGTTCCAATTCCTAGTCCTTGTCAACACAAAAGCTTGAAACAAAGTTATACATATGGATTAAGTTAGTATAAATGCTCCATATTTTTCTAAGTAAAATTTTTATCAAAACTTTAAACAGTATCTCTGTGTTGGTAGACACAAAGATAGTGTCATGTGATGTTAAAGCTATGTCAAATAAGCTAAGTGAGATGAATTTGAGATTAGTATTTTGCATAATGTATTTGAAATTTAACATAAATTTATAATTAAAAGAGAATTAAAAATAATATTACAATAAGTTATAAAAAAAGAGAAATACGAGTAGTTATAAATTATAATGTTAGAAATTGAAATGCTAAAGCAAGACAGCTTCAAGAATAAGTTCAATGTCAGTTAAAATTTAATTTTCTGGTGCTAATATCATATGATGTGTTCAAAAGTCATGCATTATGTAATCATGTAATTTTATTTAAAAAAAAAGGTTATTAATATTCTGAAAATAAACTTTTTTAAAATTTAAATATACACTATGCAAATAAACTTCTTTGCAAGAAATGGATATAGTAACTTCTACGTAATAACAAATTAAAATAGATTTGGCACCTGCATTTTAGCATAATATAATAATGGTAATGAATGCATCTTTGCAACAGAATACAATAGTAGAATTGACTTTGTAGGATATTAATATTGGCATCGATTATATATATTTGTTGTTCAAG